ATGACCGTGCGACTCCTGAAAATAAACAGGAATCAAATGGAGTGATTGATCGAATAAATTAACCTCAGCAGCGAGCGGCGGCGGCGGCACTCTCGCTCTAAGTTTCTCGCTCACACACATCTACTCATCAGCTCCAGTGACCGACCCCGTAGAAAAACAGACACTTGTTGCTGTTTGCTTCGGTGCTCCGGCCAGCTGCAATTTGGGTGTAAGTTTGTTCCACGGCGGTGTGGTGTCGGTGGTTGGGGAGCGGTGGCCAGTGGGTAATTGATTTTACTGCATGATTGCACAGAGCGAGCTTAATTGAAGGGGCTTTCATTAATCTTGTTCACTGCAGAAAATGTTCAGATTGCAATTATGTGGAATGTAAATGCACCCAAACCAATCTGAGCAAGTTTTTTTTTTATTTGCTGGAAACTGTTTGTCGGGTAGTTTCAGTGAGATTTATCAGTTTATATGTCTATCTATAGAAAGTCTTATGTTAGATTTCAGTAGTTAATCAAGTAATAATACAGATTCTACTGTTTTTATGATAAATAATCAAAGCATTAATTTATTAAAAGTCTTGCCAGTGTTCTCTTTAAATATGTTTTACGCCTTAAAAGAGTTTTTTCAAGCTTGTAGAAAGAAGAAAATGATGTAAAATCAGTTTGCATCATATCAGCAACTCAGAAATCTGGATTTTTATCTGCTTTAATATGTTATTTTCACACTAAATTCATTCTCTCTAGTTAGATTTCAAGCAGATAAAGTAAAAAAGATAGAAATCAATATGTTTCCCCTCTGATTGTGTTTACGCTGCTGTGTTTGTGCCCTGTGATGATCTGCAGCTAAAGGTGAAGCTCCTCTGACCTTTCAACTGCCTTTTAAATCGCCCTGTTTTGCGCAGGCCTCTGTTTTCTAGAGCCGGGCCTGAAATGTAAACTGTCCAATCTGATGAACCTGCCGACCGGTCACAGCCTTCATGAAATGAAGACAGGACTCCAATACAAGCTGGCCCACCCCTCTGACCCGCCCCTCCATCCCTGCTTCGCCTGTGTGGTTTAGTGAAATCTCCTCCTTGCGCTATAGGATAGCCCTGGCCTCTGGGGTAACAAGATAGATGTAAACAACCAATTATTGGATAGGCCCTCATTCATATCCCCTTAACCAGTATAGACACAGAGGTTCTGGCTTTAATAATTTCATTCTCTCTGCCCAACATTCGGATGTCTGTGCAAAAGAATGATACTAATCAACCCCTTGTTGCGCTTGTCTCATGTCAGCGTATGCAAAAGTCTTAAAGAATAAAATCCACATCCCTCTCTCACAGCCTGAGCAGCACACACACGCTCTCAAACACACATCTTGCAATAATCAGCTCAATTAGTGGAGGTCGTGGTGGAGAGTGGCCGAGGTGAGCGGTGGGAGGTTGTGAAAATAGGTGGTTGGCTATTAGGAGAAACGTGATCTCCATTCATCAGCGGCCGTAATAATTACCGTTTGGGAGCCGGAGCCCTCTGATCAGACTGATCCGTGGAAACAAGTGGTTTACAAACACTGTCAGGGGCCAGACGTGGGACCCCTGTCGCTGCCGGTGCACACGCCCAGCAGTCGTGACGGTGCCAAACCCCGGCACGACAAAGATGCTTTGTGTTTGTGTTCATGTTTTAATTGCTTGCTCAGTTATGTCCTCTGTCCAGAGCCGGCACCGTTAACCTTCCTAACCTCTGGGAGAAGTTCTAGTTCAGTGTAGCAGGGGCCATGTTACTGATGCAAACAGGTGTTGATTGAAAAACATCAGCAGAATGAGGAGGTGTGTTTGATTTTTACGCCACTTTATCCCAAAGAGCTGTGACTTTATGTCTGACTGCAAACACAAACACTGGTTACCTGTGAGGTGATAAATAGTCCAGAATAACACCAACAGGTGGGTCAGCACCCTGTTTGCATTCTATCTACATCTGTGGGCATCATTCCCAAAAAATAATTCAAATTATTCAAGATTTAAGGATGACCTGCAGGTTTATTAGCCTGCAGGGAGACTCCAGTAAAAAATTAAACTCACAACTTTGCCAGAAAACATCCAGAAAAATGAAATCAGAGAACTAAAGCACACATTTATACAATTGTTTCTCAGTGACAGCTCATTTAAAAATAAACGTTTTTTCTGCCTTGTTAGGTCAAACGGATAAATAATCCACTCCTGCTCCACAGCTCTTATCTGAATGGCCTTTTGATATGAAACCATGAATCAGCTCCACTGTGGCCACTGGCAGTGTGTAATTGCAGCACCTCGCTCACCGCCGGGAGAAGCTCTGCTCAGGCTTTGGGCTCAATTACGAGGCGTTCGGGGTGTTTGGGTTAGATGGATGGAGGCGATAGGTTTTTATCTGAAATCAGTTTAAGATTTCATGTCTGTCAAAATGTGTTTACAGGCGCTCTGAGTTTCTCTCGTCGGCCTGGAAGGAGATTTTTTTCGATTTTTATGAACGTCTGAAA